ATACGTATATTTTGCATATATTTTACATATGATTTGCAGTCTGTTTTAAGGCAATTTCAACTTTGCAGATCTTATCCACTGGTGATCCTTTTCTCATCCTGTTCCTCAGTGCATTCTGAGAATCACAGATAAGCAAAAGAAGGGTGGAATAGACTCCTAGAAAGGGAGGAAGAAAGATCAAAAGTGTTGAATACCTTGTTAGGATCTAGAATTGTCATGAACAGTTAGGGTAGTACTTTGTCAGTACGTGACATCAGAAAGTAGACACTTCAGTTACTTTCCTCATCCCCTCCTTCTCATCCTCCTCCCCTCCTTCTCATTTTCCTCCCCCTTCCTCCCTCCTCCTTTTCCTCCTTCCTCCTCCTTCTTCCTCTTCCTCTTCATCATCACTGTAATTATTTTCAGAAAGACATTGTTATCCTAAAAGAATTCCATGTTGGAAATTCTTAATTTCCTGCCTAGGAAAAGATGATCAGACCCAACCTAGCCTTAGGTGAACTTTTTGGGGGATAACTTTTGAGTCCTAGTTGAGGATCTGTTCAAATCCAGAGCCCATGGTCAGATTCTTCTCCTTTGCTTCTATGAGTCCCTGGTTCAGTTCATGCCTTATTTTTTGGCAACCGTAAGCCGTAAGTCTCAGAATAAATGTTGAATTTCAGTCCCAGTCAGGGTGGTGGTCACGGGGCTGGCCATGTGGGCTGATGGGGCTACGGGTGTGCACGCATGTTGTCCTTTTGCTTCTGAGGTTAACGTTTTAGAAGATCCATTTTCATTTTAACTCCTTTCTCATCAACCACACACATAATACATATCCAGCATAGATTCTACTGCTTTTCTTGCTAATTATATCCAAGTTCTAAGATCTTTTGACCATTATTTTCTATAATTTATGTTGGAAAGACATATACTTCCATGTTTTTCTGTGATGTCATTTAAAAATATTTTAATGTTACCTATGCTTGAGAAAAATCTCCATGATATCTCAATATTCTTCTACCCTTCCCAGCTACAACACAGAGCTGCAGCCCCTTTCCTCTGAGACTTCATTGGTTTACATGAGTGGTGACCTTCTTTTCCATGAAGGGAGTGTGGTAACCTCTTATATTCATCCTGACTTCCTTTCAGACCATAGTCTTATAATGTGAAATGCATGGACACTTTTGCTTGGGTGATTCTTTTTTCTCTTCAACTCATCATGCCTGAAATAGAACTGATTCTCCTTTCTCCAGATCCATCTCCTCATCCCATCCCACCTATTATTACACTGCTTCCCCCTGTCTCTCACCAACCCCTCCCCTCAGGTGTCTCATCCATCATCTAAGCCTGGTGAATCCTCTTCTCTTTCCCTGCTCACTGCCATGATGCTCATTTGGTCCCTTTGCCTATGACTGATCTTTCTGCCTTCATCTCTTTCCCTGCAATCCATCCTGTCCACACTATCACAAAAGCAATCTTTCTGAACAGCATTTCCCCCAGGTCATTCTCGTGCTCATGAACCCTCAGTATTTTCCATCAGCTGCAAGATCAAGTCCAATTTCCTTAGCCTTGAAACTCAGCGGTTCCATACTCTGGTCTTAGGATAATGTCTCACTTCTTAATATGGCTATTTATATGTATTAATGCCTTTATCTGCATAGCATGCTGTTACCTTCTTGCCACGTGCCTGGTAGTGCTCTAGTTGATTCAGAAAAGTTGAACTAGAAAGTTTTACAAATGCACTTTGTGGTCTTGGTAGTTGATGGTACTACGTAGAATGCCCACCATCTTCCAAGACCTGTTTAAAATCTCTCTGACCTCCAGACACCTTTTCTGAGCACCCAGGACCCTCCTCTTAATATCTACTTGCCTTGTTGTCTGAATTCATTATTTGACACTCATCCATTCCTCATGCAATCATCAAACACATTCTGGGAATCTACCTACTTTGTGTTGGGCACTGTAATATCTATTGCCTCACACATCGGTGTATCTTCATAGTGTAATGTAAATAATAACAAACTTTATAGAGCTCTTACCTAGCTCTATACAGGCCCAGATTTACCTATATTAATATATTTAATCTTCAAACAGTGTATGAAGTAGACATTATTATCCAAGTTTTACAGCCAGGAAAATCAAAGTTCAGAAATGTTTAACAAATTTCCTAGGGTTACAAACTAGAAAGAAGTAGAGATGGGATGCAAACCCAGCTCCAAAGTCCTTAATCTTAACCCCAGGCTTCACGGTCAGGTACTGGTATATATGTCATACCTATGTTTATGTAAATTTAAACACATGAACCTCTGCTTAGTTGAGCTCAAAGCTCATAGAGGTCAGGGATTTTTTTTGTACTTTTATCCCCTCTTCTCTGCTCAGCCTTCACATATAGAGTTGGTAGTTAATTCATTGCTTGATTAGTTTTTAGCTCTTTTCTTCATTATTGGAGATCTGAGATTCATAGCACCAAATAAGAGCGTTTTGAGATAGGAAGAGAACAGGATTTCAGAACATTCAGTTCTTAACTCTAAAAGCTATGAGAATAAATTTGTATAAGAAAAGATGCTGACATGAAAGCTTTTGAAAGTAGAATAAAATTTCCTTCACAAAAAGCAAAATAAAACTCAAACTATATTATGATCACACACTTCCTCCCCTCCCCATCCAGTTTCCTGTACTTACTTGTGTCCATTTTTTTTTTTTTTTGCTTGACTGCTTGCAAAAACAAAGTTTTGACATTAGCATCTCAGATCTGCATTTCTGGCATACTACCTCAGCACCTCAACGTAAGGCTTTTACAAGCTGAAGAAGATCGAAGAAGATAACATTTTACTTGAGTGGCAACACTGCAACTACATATGTAGTTTAATAAAACCTGATAAGGACATATTTGAATTTTAAAAACACAGGTGGTGGGATATTTGCATTTTAAAAGGATTCTTCCGTTCACGAAAGGATCCACTGCAGGGTTCCATTAAATATCAAATTCCTCTCAGTGCATTTATCACACAGTTTAATTTTCCTAAATTTGATTTATGTGCCATTCTAAAGGGGGAGCTCTCAAGTTTCAGTGAGTTTGGGAATTACTTGAGCAACTTATTTAAAATTAAGATCTTGCCCAACTCTCCCCAGGATTCTGACTTATTCTGTCTGGGCTGGGGCCCAGCTCCTTCATTTTCAGTGAGTGTCCCCAGTTGCCTGATGCATGTCACCAGGGAAATATACTTTGGGAAGCACAGAACCCGAAGCCCAACTATAGGGCTTTCTCAAAGGCCTGCCTACACTTTAGCACCAAGTGTCCCTCTTGTCTTTTATTTGGTAACTTGGGAAAGTATTTATCTGGGTCAAATAGACTCTTTCATGTAGTTCCCACTCACTTTCCTGCAGCAGCCCAGTACTTTAATCTCAGGTGTGAAATATCACCCCACCCCTCCAATACCCTATTTCACCCCTAACTTTCTTTTTGGATCTTCCTTTTTCTCATTTTTTAAAGCCAATGATGCGTTAGTGAATGACGGTCTGCTGAATTCTTATGTCTATTCTCTTCTCCCCCTACTTCCCACAGATCTCACCTGCCTGCCCCATATCCCTTCATCTTAATGCTCTTGGCTGGGATACTGAAGGCTACGACTTGCTCCAGAAGTATCTAGGCATCTGAAGTTTTCTCTGAGCCAAATCTAAAGCCTTTTTTCTTTCTCTACTATCCCACCCCCTCCAAAACAAGAAAGACCCCAAATTAACTTTTTAAATAAAACAAATCATGAGAATGACTCATTTTGGCATGATTCTATTCTCCAATGAGAATTAATCCTAGACCTAGAGCAATGAATGCTAGGATTTTACATTTAAAATATGATTATGGTTTAATGAAATTCATTTAGAAAAGACTCCATGACATTTATGGCACATGTATCTATGTATTTAATATATCACTGATCTTTTAAAAGTCAGCTGCTTGACCTATATTTTTCCTCTGATTACTTTTCTAAATCTCTAGTAATCTCCAAAAACATTTAGAGATTTCCATACTTTAGAGTTTTTTCTCCTTTAATAATCCCCATGTATCTCTGAATTTTGCTGCATGTAAAGATTCTCTGGGGTGATCTGGATTTGGTAAAATAGATAATAAAAGCAATTCAAGAACAAATAAAACAACAACAACATCTATGATAATGTTGATGAAGCAATACAAGAACAAATAACTGATGTCACTGGTTATTGTTGGAAATCCTTACTTTTAATACATTTACTAGAGCTTAGACTTCTCTTGAAGTAAGGAGCTCTTAATAGCTTTATTTACCTTCCAGAAGAACATAGCTAGAGATTGTCTTATTTTCCTTAATTTGATCTTGTGGATCTTCTTTAACCCATTCAGGTCTGGACTGGGGCTCCTTGATCAAGCATAGTGGACTTTGCAGGAAAATAGAAGTTAAGGAAGGAATAAGAGGGAAAGTTTTAGGCTGTCTGAGCAACTTTTGCAAGGTTGATAGGTTCAATAGGATTCAGATTGTTTAGTATATCTAGAAAAAAAGGTTGATGATAATCTCTGAATGCTGGATTTACACCGGAGAATTTTTTCTTTTCGTTCCTCTGAATTTTTGCAGGTTTTTACAGTGACCAAGTACTACTATTTCAAGAACTGTAATTTGAAAGAAAGAAAGAAACCTACTTTGCCTGGCATTAGAGTCTTCTCTTCAGGGACCTGGTCTTAGTGGATCTATCACAAATCTTACCAATTGCATAGAACAATGGTTTAGAAAAAAAAAAAAAGCCCAGAACAGAAAACAAAAGCAAATGGAAATATTTCTCCACGTTAGGCCCAGGGCAGTTCAGCAAACAAAAGACTGTCGGAGGGTTTGGTGCATGCTGTGAGCCTGTGGTCTGTGAGCGCAGGCCCTGCTACACCTGCTTCTATGCAAAAGAATTAAGAGAAGATTGCACCGCATTTGGGATTTTAACTTTGTCTTCTTTCTTTTCTCCTTCCCTTCCTCCTGCTCCCTTCTCCCCTCTGCTCCTCTCTCAAGGCCTCTCCCACCTCATGATGAGTGAACAAGGTAGGTGCCTTGCATTTGTGCCCTGCTGCTGCCCGAACTGCTTGCCTTTGTGCCTCTGGCTGGTCACTCGCAGCCTTGTCACCGGCAGGCCACCCGTTACCTGTCCGCCCTGGTGTGGGCCAGGCTGGAAGCAGGGTGCCCTGCTAGGGGGACACCTTGCCTGATGCATCCTGCTGTCCCACCCGCTCCTCCCCCTGGCTTTTCCATTCTCCACCACCATTTGTCATCCCAGGCGCTGGCCCTGCTGGGCGGCCTCCAGGAGGGAAGCATGAAACAAGGCATGACGCGTCGATAATGGGGGTGAATGAAGCTAATTTCGGAGCAACCAGGCGGTTAACTTCCTCCTGCTCCTCCTCAGGCCCCAGTCCGGGCCCCAGGTTGGGGGATAGGAGCTGGGCTTCTCCCTGAATTTCACTTTGGATAAAGGTTTGCTTTTTGTCTTCCCCTCCATTCCATCGCCCATCTTAACGACGTTTTGCGTCCCCCGGTCAAAGGAAGCCCTTTGGGATTTGACTGTTTTCAGTTCCATATAAAAGCAAAAATCACCGAAAGAACATGCTAATGTCCTCATGGCAGGATTCTAACTCATTATACACCCTGAAGAAAGCTGCATATAAAGATCTGTGAATTCAGCATCTGCAACCTAAAATATTCAAATATTCAGGGAATGAACTGTGCAGGAAATTCAGCTCAGCTAAGCATGGGGTGGGCTATGAATGAGGCCTTTTTTCCTAAATAAAATTTTTCCACATTATCAGCCCGAATCAGGATTTTGAGAGCTGAGCCTACTTAAAAGTGTCTTTTCCTTCATTGTTCAATTGCAACTATTTTGTTTCTTTGGAGCCTTGGGCTGATTACAAGATTGGTGTACCTGGCTTGCCCTGTCACCGGAAGATTGTACTTTTATTTTTCTTGTCTGTTTCTTTTCAAAATACACATGGGACCTAGTACATCTTTTGGAGGATCAAAGAGAGAGGAAAGAGAAGTTACCTCCAAATATTCCTGTTTCCCTTGGTCTTGGAGGGAGAGTAGGCAGCGCTATTCCCCCATTCCATTATATCAGATCCACCAGATGTTTGCTGTATAGAGAAGTATGATCAGATCAAGGAAACTGCCAGGGCTAAAAGAAGATTGTTTATGGCATCCAGGTAGCTGTGAGGATGGAGGACATCCAGAATTGGTAAGACAAGCTAAGAAGGAAGCCTGCAGATATCAATGAATAGAGCAGAGGGCGGGGTCAGGTGAGTTCCCCAGTGTTAGAGAGGCTCCGGAAGAGAATGTTCTCTGTTCTTGTAGGTGAATGGGAGAAGCAGGTGCCAGAAGCAAGTAGCTGTAAAAGGAGTATGAGTAGGGGATGTGCCTGATGTTGACCTAGTGTCTGGGTAGTTTGAGAGTTTAAGCACTTTATGAGGACAGAGGAACTGAGCCCTGTGAATTGCTGGTGACAGGTTATACTAGGAAAAGCAGGCCCTCAGAGTCCTGATTACAGGACCGTCTATATTCTCCAGTCTTATGCTCCTAGGTTCCCTTCAGGAGTACACCCAGCCTTTAGAGTAGCTTGCAATACTATGTACATCAGACGGCTGTTGTCATGGGGCAGAGTATGGCAGATGGGACACAGTGACAAGGACTTCCCTGATCTTGATTTAGCTTTTTCCAGATACACTGATGGAGCACAGGAAGTCTAAATCCCAATACTGACATGAAAAGCATTTGGAAAACCTGTGTTTTTAACCTTACCCTGCCTTTCAATGTACCTTTGTAGAACAGTCAGGCACAACCATTCCCCAGGGGAACTAGTCAGGTGAAAGAGAGGAAAAAGTAATGACAAACATGGATTTTATGAATGCCTCCTCTGAGGGGTTTTCAAGAAAGAATGCAGAATTCTTCTGGGTGACTGGTTCCACTAAGATTTTAATTTGCTACTGTGGTTTAATCTTTTAAAACAACGCTTTGACTGCAATACATTTCTCCTCATTTTTTCCATTTCCTACTTTTTTATCCATTCCTGCTCTTCTGACAGTTATCTAAAAAGCCAGTGCTCTTCTTCCTACCAATACTGCTTGCTTTCTCTATTTCCTCACATAAAAAGAGAGGAGCTTCTGTCTGGTTCCCATGGAACCTCCAGAATTTGTTACTGATGTCTGTAAATATGTGTGGAAATACTTATGAATGTTGTGTGTGCCTCACTGATACATGTGTGTTACACTCTGTCCTCACCACCCACATTGATTTTGGGAAACACAGGAGCCTAGCTTCTTGGGGACTTTCTCTAACTTTGCTGGATTGGTTAAGTGCATGCAATTTCACATCCATGTGACCGTGCTGTGTGTTGCATGCCGATGGTGCCATGTTTCTAAGGATGGGATGGAGAGGACGTGAATGGAGCGAAGCTCACACTCAGTGGAAGGGGCCCTGCTGGTCACCGTGCTCCCTGCCTGCTTGAGTTTCCCACCGTGTACTCCTTTTGTGCTGCCTTCTCAGGATGTTGCTGTGCTGCTGCTCTTGCTGTCACGAGAGTTGTTATGTGTGTCACATCTCTGTGTGTTGGGTGTGCTGATGTTCCTCTCCTCTCTCTCGCTTTCTCTTGTTGCCTCCATGGTGGACACCATGCTTCCTCTCCTTAACTGGACCTTCCACTTCATCTCTGTAGGTAGAAGTAAAGGTAGAGATCGCTTTATTTTTATCAGTATAACTGTCAATCTGCCTTCCAAGTCATTCATGTATGCTGGGGAAATGTTGATTCTGATGGACACAGTCCAGATTAGAATTTACTCTGTTTAATAACAACTAAAAAAGAAGTCATGAGTATCATGTCTTGTCAATGCACTTTGTGTTTGGTGTCTGGGGTTGGCTCAGAGTTGACTCAACTCTTTCTAGGTAAAGTGTGAGCCTTATGCTTGGTGTCAGATTGTTTTAATGGAACGGCGGACTCTGGAAGTGGTCATACAGTGTGGACAAGATGTATTTTCCTTTACTACTGAGTATTGTAACGTGTCCTGTCAGGGAAGTGTTTTGAAGGATCGGTGGAGGTGGGAGTGATGTACCCTCATTGCTATTATTTGAGAGTAGCTGAATTTGGGGGAATTTCAGTGAGGGAAGCATGACAGTAGAGGAAGGGGAGAGGATCGGTGCATTGCTTATACTTTTATTTAATGTGGAATTTGGGGGTCATTTATTTATTGCTCTGTTTTTCCTCTGTGTTGTTTTTCAGCACTACATAAGGAGGAGTTGGAATTTTCTGACCAGGGGCAATAGGCTAAGAAGGGTGGGACTGAGGGTATGTGGAAGAATCTAGGCATAAAAATGCATGACACTGTAAGTAGTAAGAAAAGAAAGAGGTGATCCTGGATTTAATTTACAAAGTCAGCCTTTTGCCAGGTGGGCAGGGAAGAAGAAAGGCGCTGAGTGGGTGGGTTTGCCGCAGCTCTCTGACGTGTCTTTCTTTTCCTCATGCCTTTGGGGAGCACAGCTCACTCATCCATTCCTAATCAAAGCTGTCAGAGACTCCAGCCTGGAGAACCTGGTTCACCAGCTCCAATTGGGTTAGCTGTGTGGGAGTGAAGGGAGAGGTTAATTGATAAATTATAAATACGTATCTGCATCCACTTTTCCCCAATTCCCCCCTAACTCTCCAGCCCCATCTCAGAGAAGCTGTATGCAGCAGCTTCCTTCCAAAACTGGCAAATAACAAAAGAAGGAGATGGGGATTCTGGTGTAAGATGTGGCTGAAAGGAGGGGCTGACAAGTTATTAAAAATGCTGTGAGCTGGCCATCTCTCATCTGAGTTCAATGCTTTCTGGATTTCTACAAAGTTATGTATGGATGCAGTTCAGTCCTTCCCATTTTGGAGGTGGTTATTTGCCTGTTGCTTTTATGCTAATCACAGATGGGTTCATTCTCAGGACTCTGCCATGGGGAACCTTTACCCCATTGCTGGGCTGTGATTGTGGGAAGGAGGTGGGTGGGAGATGGGGAGGAGGAAGAATAATGACTAGAGGGGCACCTCTGGGTGTACAGGCTACCAGGGATCTCCGCATATGCAAAGCCACCAATCAGCCCAGACTCAGCCTTTCTGAAGTCCACGACACTGTCCCTTGTCCCTCCTCCTATTGGCATCTACAGTGCATTAGAACAGTGCATGTCTGTCTCTTTTCCCCCCAAATGCCTTGTAATATCCATTAAAATAGGTGTTGTGGAATTTTTAGATTTTGCACACAAGTGTCCTTCTTTCTCTGGGCCACCGCCGCTACCACAATGAGCAGCTGCTAGTATTTGTGGAGGGCTGCCTGTGATGCAGGCATCATCCTAGGTGCTCTGTATCCCTCATCACCCTGCAACTCGGATAATAAGGCTCAGAGAGTGAAATAACTTAAGGCATGTGGCTAGTAAGTGGGAATCAGACCCAGAATCTGAGCCCCTAACCACTGCTGTACACTGCCTGCCTTGGCCTCCTGTCTGTGCCTCCTGGCTACCTCCCGGGCATCGATCGGTCTTCACTTCCAGCCTGCCACCTTGCATTTGTTGTAGTATGTGTCCATATAAATGTCACCTAGTCCGGTCACTGCAGTATGTCCAAAGCCAGCTTTTGTACCATCTGTCTACCAACCAGCTTCCTTTTCTGTTGTCCCTATTTTTGTTAATGGACCCCCATCCTCCTCATCACCAAGGCTGGGCACCCGGAAATTGCTTGTTATCCCAGGCAGTCTGTTGAGAGCTTGTTGAGATTCTCCAGAGAGTCTTGTCCATCTCCACAGTCAGCACCCTGCTCTGGTTCCTGGCTGGTACTTATTAGATCATTGCGCTACCCTAATTACCCTCCCTATGCCTCTTGCCTTCTAGTCTTTCCTGCAACTGAGACTGTGTGAACTCTGCTGTCCACCAGTGGGCTATAGGATTAGCTACTTGCTGCAAACCCTTCCCCAATGTGACCCTGTTTCCCTTAATCTTCTCCCCACCTTTATTTTAGATGATAATTGGTGTTCTGACCAAGCAGGATACCAAATAATCTGACTCACTTTCCTTGTCTCTTACCTTTGCTTGTTCTGCTTCTCTCCCTTTTAATACTTCCACCTCCCCTTTTTTCTGGCTATTGAAATCATGCATAGAACTCATTACCTACCTAATGCTATCCTTGAGTGCTCCATGACAGAGCTGAGCTCTCCCTCCGCATATCTAACAAGTTATATTAAAGTTTTTCATGAATCAGACCATTCTTCTCTATTAGATTGCAGATATGTTGAAGGCAAATGTATTCACCTATTAAAAATGTCCAGATGTGTCTGCTGTGTTGCATGTGGAAGGGGCTAAAGAACTCTAATCCTTCTTTTTTGTTTTTGTTTTTTTGTCTTTTTGAGACAGGGTCTCACTGCATTTCAGGCTGGCCTTGAACTCACTTTGTAGACCAGGCTGGCTTCGAACTCGTAGTGATCCTCCTGCTTCAGCCTCCAGAGTTATCCTATCAATCATCTTGCTAAAAGTGAAAATGAAACAAACTTAAAAGTTAATTGGATCATGTAGCTCATCTGCTCCAAAGCTTTTGATGTTTTCTCATTGTGTAACTGTCCAAGGATCCTCCCAGTTTTGTGTTTTATGACTGTGTAAGCTACTCTTCATTATCGCCTTTGTCATCCCTCCAGTCTCCTAAAGCCCTTCACCTGCCGTGCTTGAATCCACACAGCATTTTCCTGCCTTTGGGCTTTTGCTGAAGCTCTGCCCTCTTTTGTGAATGGCCTTAAATAGGCTTCTTCCTCTTATCATGCTTGGAAGACTGAGCCTCCTAGGTCTCCCACACTTTGCGCTTAGGCTGTAAAGGGCCTGCACCAAACCACCAGATTTACTCATGTGTTGTAGTCGTCACATCTGCACAAAAAAAGATGGAGGCTGTGCCTTGGTCATTAATGTCACCCATAATGCATGCACTCAGGGCTTGGTCCAAAGCTGTGTTTGATGAATGCTCCCAGACTTCAGTAATGTTGAACTGAACTAAAACCATTGGTTTTAGATATACGGGGAGGGATAGGTTGGATTTCATTTTTCATCAGTGATGGGGTCATGCTACTCACTGACTGGCACCCCTTGTCAGTACCCTCATTATCCCAACCCACTAGACACCAGAACCCAAAGTTCGTGCAATGAGGCCGGAGACCAGATGTTTGGGCTCCCGTTTGTTCCCTTCTGTGTGTGCGTGTGTCAAGGTGCAAGTGGTTACAGACTGCAGAATAAAAACGGCCGAAGTCTGGGATTGATTCTTAGGAGCTTGGCACAGAAAAGAATAAATGTGCTTCAGATTTTGTCAGCCTTTAAAAGCCAATGACAAAACAGTAAACCCACAGTGCAAAGAATTGTGAAGTTAAATTTACACAACTAAGGAGGATGTTCAGGCCGTGATGACAGCTACTGCATTCAGGAGGCCACTAGGCTGCATATGGCCAAAAACAAATGAGACCAGAAGTGACCAACCAGAGGCGTTCTGTAGCAAGCAGTACTGGGCAGCTTTTGAACTTAATTTTTACAGCCTTTGTTTAAGTGTTGGCTGCGTGTATGGGACCCCACCCCGTTTTTCTTGTCCATTTTTGGGTTGCCTTTTCTGGGCCAGGTGACCAAATACTTTCCCTTGCAACTAGACTTGAAGCACGAGTTGCTGACTCAAATGCCTACAGGGACCTGACATGTATCTAGGGGCAAGGAAGATCCTAACATAACTGAGGAAACAATAGGCGGCAGTGGGACTCTGGCAAACTGGAGCCCATAAATCCTGTCAACAACACAGCCTTGACTCTGCTGCACTGATTGCTGCCAGGCAAGAATGCAGGCCCCATATCACCAGAGCCTCAAGGTAAGCAGATGTGTGTTTTATCAAAGTGTCAGCTCGTGGCATTGTTTTCTGTACACAGATGTACAGGTAGGTACCAAATAAATTAACCCATGAACCACAAGGTTTGACCTTTGACCTGAGAGAGTAAAATATTTTTCCAAGATTTTTGGCTTCATGTCAATAGTGGGAGGTGGTCTCTGGAAGCACACTTAATTTCCTCTTTGCCCCTAACACTGGCTAGGGTACTAGACATTCTTCTTATTCACGGTGCGACTGCCAGTGCCAGATCCGTGTGTTGGGGGAGGTTGGTTTCGCTTGGTGGTGTGGGCCTATGAAGGGAGGGTGTGGTGAATGCTGAGAACTGGGCAATGAGGTGACACTGTCAGTACTTTCCAAAAAGGGATGATTTTTAAATAGTACAAGTGGCTGTGTTAAGTTCCTTTGTCCTTTAACGCTACTGAAGTCTTTAGTTACTGGACTAGATAGTTGCCCCTACAATCTATTCTAGGCCTTTAGAATGAAGAGGCTCCCTTTGATTTCTTTAGATGTGCTTTTGCTATGTGGATTTCATCACTGGCCTTCTGATGCTGAAGTAATCAACACTGGCCAAACTAGAAAGAGATAATCAAGCTACATGAACTTGAACGTGATTTCATGTTGATGGTATTTTGCTGGTAATAACATTAAGAAAGCTGATTTGGGGAGCTGAGCCCCTCTTGTCCCTGCTAGGACTCGAGAGCCCTGCAAATAAGTTACTGCCTGATAGCCAACTGTTTATGTAAATTAGTATATGCAGTGCCAGCTACTAATTATGAAAATAAACTCATCTGTGCTCTATAAATATCTAA